TCTGCAAAAAGTCTCTCTGTAGTGCATCATCATCAGCTTTTCTGACTTGCTTACATTGTCTCACACATCCCATGATGTTCACTGGTAAGCAGCAGAACAAGCATCTATTTAAAACAGCATACAGTGAGCTAGGAACACAGTACGCTGCCTTCTTTGTTATAGGCTTACTGGAGGAAAAGAAATTATCATTTCTTCTGGAATACAACACAGCCTAAGCAGCTGTAGCTATAATAGTATTATTAGCTTACATGGTATTAATAAACTTTACTTCTTTGTTGAATTACTTTTTCTAGGTAAATATTTCAGACTAACAGCTCTTGCTATCACAGGGAACGGCTTCACAGTTTCCTCTAATATGATGGGAATAAGCCTTGACTGCAGACACAAGGAATGGTTTGCGAGCATATTTTCATCTCAAAAACTCCTGAATTTGAAGATCTATAAGAGTTTGTATATAGAATCAATCCAAGACCTCTTCATGAAACATCTCTCCCTCTTTGCTGAAATCCTGTGAAACCCATCAAAAGATCTACACACACACACACACACACACACACACACACACTGCCTCTACTAAGCTTGCTGCTGCATTCACATCTCGTGGATGCTGTGATATTTTCAGGCTCTGAAATGCACACTGTGAAGGTTTTCTGTTGACTCAGAGAAGCGGCACAGCATGGTACATCTGAAAACCACCAACAGGACAGCACTGGCTGCCTCTCTGCAGAGCCTCTGAAGAAAAGAGCAGGAGACATTACACACCTGCCCATCAAGTCGAGCCAGAGTATAGAAGACAGAAGGAAAAAAGCATTTAAGAAGCCAAATAAATTTAAAGAAAAACACATAAAGCCAGCAAAACACTGAAAAAATATTCATCCAGAAATATTAAATATATGCACAGTACTTATTTCAACACCGTGCATCAGCACTGCATTTACTGCTTGCGTGAGCTCCACTTAGTACTTCTAAATACAACCTACTAAGATCAATGGCTTCTAAACACGAAATGGTTTCCTCCCAGTAGAAGACTGTTAGACATTTTCAGTACAGAAACGCAATGGAAGTAATGAGCTGCCACTTTCAGAAAGCAGTGCAGAATCAAACAGACCTACTCAAAGGAATTTTTCCCCCAGGTGTGGTATCCAACCCTAAACTGATTTCCATGCAGAGTACAACAGAGCTTCACAAGTTGACCATGCAGAACACATTTGAAAGGAAGTTGTGCATTCTGAACTTTAAGGCATATTGAGAGAATAAACTCAAGACTCATTTCTATCAGCATTCCTTTTAACGCATCTGCTCTCACTGAGATTTGCCAAGAAGGAAAAAAAACTGTTTTAAACTGAAATGCTTTTGCTTGAAAATTAGTGTATAGATGGTGCAGACCCTGAGCCCCACAATTCCATCACCTTACAGAAAGAAGCATGCACACCAGCAGAACTGCCTTCCAATTCCCACTCCAAGTATGAGGCACACCGTGCTCCAGGTGAAGCTCAAAGCACAGGCTACCCCAAGAACATACACCTTCCAGAATTGTTTGCTAGAAAGAACTTTTATTTTCACCATGTAGAGTTTAGCATTGCTTTGGTTGCTGCTCAGTGAAGTGTTTTTAGAGGACCTGAAGCATTGCAGTCACTTTCCATTAAGTGAAACATTTGGAAATTTCAGATAAGCCTGAGGAAATAAAAATGTGTATGGCCTGAACGTAAGAAAACCCAGTAGGGTCTCACACATTAGAGCTGTGTGGGTTCCTGAATTCAGCTCTCAAAGAACCCAAATGCAACAATAACGATCTTGGCATAGGCACTTCCTGCAGATTAATGACCAGCAGGGAGGAGCTGATGTCCCACAGCACAGCCAAGGGCCATTAACCCCAGCCAGTCATTAATCCCCAGGAAATGCCCTGTGCCAAGATCATTTTCTTATTCCAAAATGAAAAGCAGCAGAGACTATTAAGAACACACAAACTTTTTTTTTTTTTTTTAAATGAAAGAAGCTATTCAACTGCTATCTCCAAGGTACAACATCTCTAAGTTAACTCATTACAGTTTATCTCCGAGACCACAAGCACACAGACTGGGCACAGTGCAAGTTTCAGGCTGAATTCACAGCACTGCAGCTGCGGCTGTCAGCAATTCAAGGACAGATGCAGCCATCTCCTTTGCTCAGAAAGCTGAAGTACTGCTGAGCCTCACTGCATCGTTAGCAAGGACATCACTGTGGGCTGCATTTAATGCATACTGCACTGCTGGGCATACCCTCAGGAACAAGCTTGCAGGACCTGCTCGTGAAGGCAGAAATCAAGCGTGCTGCTCAGCAGCTGGCAGTGCTTGAGACCTCACAGAGAGCTTCACAGAAGGGCAATAACTATCCATTTCACTTACACCTGTTGATAACTTCTGCTGGGACTCACTCCATAGATCCTGCGCACTTCAGATTCCCAATGGGCTCATCTGCACATGATGTGACGATGACCATTTTGAAGATAGGAATGTTACACACAAAGGGATTTCTCCAAGGGCATCAGAAAGCATACGTATATATGTTTGTAATATCAAACCTAGTCAACATGCTGATGCAGCTTACCTCAGAGCTGGCCCAGCAGGAGTGCACAGGGGCAAGCACCAAATTCCCTGACATCTTTCAGAAACGTCTTTCTGACAATGATAGTACCTGGTCACAGGGAGGATAAGTCTTCTCTTTATATTTAGCACATTTCCAGGTTATAGGGCCTGCACATAGGCAAGCCTAATTTTGTTGGTCTAGAATCAAGCAATTAGAGCTTCTAGTTAACAGCATAATCACTGCTTTAAGTATCAACATATCACCAGAACTCCGGTTAAGAGATTTCTGTTCTGTACTGAGTATCCTTACAAATCAAAGGAAGTCTCATAAGAAATAAAAAGAAAAGCTGTTTTGAGCATTTAGAACTCCACAAACTTTCATCAGTACCTTATCTGTAAGCTGTCTCATCTCCAGCTAAACTACTCATGTACTCCTAAATAAACTTTTTGCACATTTTCTACATCAGTCTTTATAAGTTTACCTCCTAACTTTGTCTTTCACAGGTACACTTGATACCCATTCAAGTTTTAAAGCTTGAGCTTACTGCATGGAGCATCTCCCCCACACACTCTTCCTCACATTCTGTAAAACATTTCTTTTCCAGAATGAGGCTATACAACATTTTCTGCTCTGGAGAACTTCAACATTTTTAATCAGCAGCAAAGAATTGCATTCGGTTACTTGCTCTCACAGTCCCTAATCTTGCAGCAGGCTAATAAGCATCCTCCCTCCACACAGAACTTGGAAGCAGCAGGCTCTCATCAACAAGACAATGTGAGCAAAGGTGAATGATCCTAGAGCCTTTTAAACAAGTACTTGCTGTCCTCTGGTTATATATAATTTACTGGGAATAAAAATAATTCATGAAAACAATTCAGGAGGGACTGAATAAAACCAGCAGTGCTTTTCAGGAATTTGTTGTCAGCTCTTCTAGCCTGTTATTAGCCTGATATCCGTATTCCCGCAAGGAAAAGCAGAGTTGAAGGTTTTCCTACAATAATAAGGACAGTAATGTATCAAAAAAACAGGCTACACTACCAGAGGGCAGATTATCAACTTTGTTTCCACTGAGTGAAGCACAGGAGCAGAAACTAAAACACAGAACTAATTCACCCCTTCATCCATAGACACCCAAGCTTCAGAGGAAGCTTCACACACACTCCATAACATGCAGCTTTACTGCCTCGCATTCAAGATGCCTATAGACAAACCTAATTAGGAAAAGCGCTGTCAAAGTCCTCTCTACATAAGAAAATCATAATAGCTGCTCTCCTCAGAACAGATGTGCTAATAACTAATCCTCACTCTGAAAACATGCATTTGCTGCAACACGCTCTACAGTGACAGCCCTTTCCTGCAAAAGGGCAAAGCAGGTGTAAACAAAAGGAAAGGAAAAGTCTGGTTGGAGTCTGTGCTTCGAGGTTCATCTTCACCACTGCATGAACAGCACATATCATACAGCGCAGGATCCCAACAGCAGCACAAAACTAAAGCAAGGAACTACTACTGCTCAGAGATCAGCAGCCTAAATCACGCCTGTGCAGCAGACCTGTTCAGACAGACTGTGGAGCAAGGCAAAGAAACACTGCTTGCTCCAAGCCAGAGAGGCAAATCTAACAGAGCAGAGGGAAAAAGTCTGTACAGTTATTCTGACACAAACCTAGCAAAACTCCGCAGATTTCAGCAGCCAGTATTTCTCCTGCAGTTGTCCTACTGAAGAATTGTTCTTACACACCAAAGCGCTGTACAACAGATTCTGGGCCCTACTTCGCGAAGTGCTTTGCAAATACTTAGATTTCACTTCTTCCATTTTACGTTATTCTGGGATAACACCACAGATTTTCAGACATTTCTTTGGCAAACTGGCTACAGGATTTCAGAAAACTGATTAAGACTGTGACATTTCCTAGCCCCAAAAGGTCTCAGTAATCAGAAAGTGAGCCCACAAGAATCACTACCCACATCCAACCCACGGTTTGATAATACACAGTATCCAGATAGAATAGACAAAATTACTCAACTGAATGTGTCTATATTTAAAATTGAAACCTTAGTATAAAGTATATCAATATGTTTGTTGCCATAGAGACAAGAACTGTACAATAAGCAGCCAGTATTTATCATAGTTTTTCCTCTGGCTTTGTTTTTTCCCCATCAATTATCTTTTTCCTCATTAGATAATAACTTTTCATAGAAAATAATGTGGTTCCAAGTTAGAACAGTTACTACCTTGATCCAGTAATTTAACCTCTACCCCAGTGCCTATTTGTGAACCTTAATTTCTCTCAGCCCAACATATTGAATTTTCTGAGTCAAAATTAGAGACCACATCAATAAGCTCAACGGTTGGCAGAACAGCATACAGAGCAAAGTTTAAATATTTATTCTTCCAGTGAAATCTTTGAACATTAGTGAAAAATCTTTTGACCAGAAAAACAATTCTCTCCCCGCTAATTGCAATATCTTTAAATGCTGATGCCTGCTTGTACTACAGCACTCCATGGATCCGCTGAGTTGTTTTTCTAAAAAAAAAAAGTGGAAACACTTTAAAATGTACTCTGGAATTTAGAAGCACAAATTCCATATTAAATTCTCCAGAAACAATACATCCAAGTTCCATTGATGTCCTTCTTGCAGTTCCTTTGATATGAGGAAAAGGTTACTTTACTGTTCTTCTTTAAGCTGACAAGCATGTTTAAGGACAAGTAAGAGCATGCACGCTGCGTACAGGTTTTCTATCCACACATTTTACATCAGTTTTGATTTGAATGGCAGCAATGAATTATTTTTAGTTGGAAAATAAAAAATACTGTACATCTTATGTAAGAAACAAGAAAGCTGAATCTGCTTTAAGTGCCTAAAGATACTTTCAGAATTGGATGCGTTTCCAGAAGAAGGATTTCTACCTAAATGTCGCCTGTTTCCCTATGTCAGTAATTATCTTAAGTCTAAACAGAGCTAATGAGGTCAACAAGGATCACTACAGTTAAAAAAAAAAGATCATTCTCAGAACTTTTAAGGCAGACACACAGACACACACACAACCTCCACACATCTGCTATAAAGGCAAATTGTACCGCCTGCAGCTTTTACTTTGAAGGTCAAAGACTCTCTGAGTCAAAGAAATTGGTCTTCAAAAGGTGAGAATAACAGTTCCTGTATACATAACTGTTCTGCCCAGCTATTTTGTGCAGAGAGGACCAATGATAGTCTTTTTTCATTCCTAGCTGGGAACTGCAGGCCAAATGTCGTGCTAAGATAATAACTGGCTGATTTGAGAATATTGAGAAGCAGCTTCAAAGTGAAAAAACAAGTTCCACAAAATGAAGAAATGGCGGCGTTTCCGCACAACTGCCGCCCAAGATGATTTAGGGGAACGATCAAATTAGTTTCAGTATTTTGTTCCCCTAATTCATCAATCTGCAATTACTGCCATTGTCATAATAATTTATATTAGTTCTAATTTACCAAATTAAAAAAGAGGCAGATGTTAAAACTCAAAGTGACATAATTACAAATAAGAGCATTACTGATATTATGTATGCTTTGTTTATCCATGGCCCTCAAAGTGGACAGCTTCTCTTCATCAGCATGGAGGCAGAATTCACATCCCTTTTCTCCTTGTAAACAATAATTAAAGTGTAAAAAAGCTCCCAAAGACAGGAAGTGTTCCATTGTGCCAACGTTCACAGTGTTGAGTCTTACTACACAATTGCTTTTCTTGAGTAGTTCTCCTAAAATCTAAGAAGCAAAAAGCAAATAAAAAGAAACCAGGACTAGGCTGACCGGTACTTTTGCACTAACACAGCTCTCTCCAAGTGATCTTCCTTACAACACAGAACTTGTAGTTTTTACCATCTCCTTTGGGCCTCCGGCTCTCAGGAGCAGTCGCTGGCACCAGACACCCCTAGAGCTAGGAGCAGGCTGTTGGCTGGAACCACATAAACCTTACAAGTCTACTCCTCTGTATTCTTCATCCAGATCAACACTGCCACCTTTCACTTAACTGAACAACATGCATCTCTTATTTGCTTGACATCCTCCATTTTGCTTTACTTAAATAAGTGAATGCATACTTGAGCTCTCCCCTTGTGATTATACCACTGCTGTTTTCAAGAGTAAAAAATCTTAGTTGTTTTTCTCCTTCCAACCTTGCTATAAAAAGAAGCCCAGCTCAAAGAGTGTTTTGCCTCTCAGTCTCACCCTGATTATTCAACACAGAAAAATTCCAGACCCACTCACTCCTTGTTTACATCTTACAGTTCTCTAAAAATATTGGAGATTTTTCTCTCTCCACCCACAGCAGAAGGGAGTCACTGCAATTTACCTCATTCATCTCAATATCAGAATGACTCATTTGTGAACACAATTTTTCTCCAGAACAGGCTGTGCAAAGAGGAATACTGTTCTCCCACTATTACTTTTAGAGAGAAATGGAAACCAAAGAGGGACTGAAGGACTCGTCTACGGTCACAGGGTTACACAGCATCGTAGTTTCCATCACTCTCGGCTCATCTTTCCAAATGTTTTCTTTAACTGGCTCCTCCCCAATCTCAATTCAGTTAATGACTCCATCCAACCAAACTGAAATAAGCATTCATAAGCATTTTCTGTTTAATCCTTTGTAACTACATAGATACATGGATACTTTCACACCAGAATATTCTCACACTGCAGATCAAACATCATCATAGATTTTGGTTTGGGATATTATCAACATGTATTAATTTGATCCCTTTTTTCCTACAAATAAAGCAATTAAAGAAACTTGCTAAAAAGCATTACTATTTACTTTCTTACTTATTTTGCAGCATCCAGACGCATCTGTTTGTACTGCTCCTGAGAGCAGACAGTACTAAAAGGTAATCTAGTTGAGTCAGAGCCTTCTACACACAAAGCAGATGTCTATGAGTAATGTAAAGATAGTGAGCTTCACAGAGTTACTGCAAAAAGCATTCACATCATTAAGTTCAATTTCTTAGAATATCTTAAGGCCAAGACATACTATACGTATCTATAAAGCTAGCTCAGCAGTTCAAGACTCATTCAGCAGTGTATCAAATTCTCCTTTGTCCATCTGTAAACCAATGTCTATGCCCAATTATAAATGCCTTTTATGTTGTTTTCTCTTCTGATGCTTCAAAAAACATCTGTTGAACGTGAAATCATTAACACTGTGCTCCCAGAACAAATAGCTCAGCTTGTGCATTTATTACATCCAGATTATCACGTGGATTATCAGAACAGGAAGAAGGTTTTTTTTTTTTTTAAAAAAAAAAAGGTATCAAGTGCAGCATATGGGAAAAAGGGGTCTTTTTCCTTCATTGAATGCTTTCAAGTCTTCTATTTCAACCAGCTGCATTGCTCAGCTTGGGTGCTGAAGTTGTTTTTAAACAAAAATCGCAACTCCATTTTTTCCTGTTTTAACTGATAACCAGGCATGGAGCCTGATATTCCTATTTTTTTTACCATCCTTCTTTCCTATTTATGTCTCTGCACTGTACTCTTAAGAAAGGGAACCCACTCCTGAAAACTTTAACCAGCACAGCAAAGTAACTTCTGCAATTTATACTAAAATAGATTTAAATAGCAATCTTCTCATCTGAATAATAGCTTCCTTAGCTACTTTGCAGACAGCCCAAATAATCAAGCATCCATCTCAACTTGTAAAAGCGTTGAGATGAACTGCCCTCACATACTGATCAAAAACAGATACACTACAAGAGTCATTTAAAGTCATTTTACCACTTTTTAAAATGCATGCTTTAATGATCTGCTGCTTGTGTAGGAAGCCCATCTATAGAAGAAAGTAGAAATTCACATTACACATCAAGTCTTTCTGGTTTCCACCAATTAAAGAACAACAAGTCTCCTAAGTAGTTACAACTCCTTATTCCTTGCAGGCTTTTATTTTAAAGAAAGTTTAGGATTCAAACTATCTGTACTAATCAGCAGAAGAAAATCTTCAGGTACACACACACTATGAAGACTCCCATCTTGAACCTCTTCCCTCTGGTTAAGGTAAAGAGCCAGAAGGATCCCTCAGGGGAAAGGATATCAGTCTACCTCTCAGTGCCAGCAAGCCTGAAAAAAAAAATCCTCAAGATTTAGGAGAGCAGGGAATGCAGTGACAGGAAAGATTAGCAGCAGTGGCAACACTGGGAAAAATAACAGCAGCCACAGACAGCTGATCCAAGTCAATATTCCTTTTGCAAATTAACAGAGTTTCTCACCGGCTTTTGATTTTAGGATCTTGGATAACTAACAAGTATCCATACTGCTCAATCCTATTTCTGCGATTACACACCCGTTCAACACATTATATGTTTTCCTATTTGGCTTTTTCTGTCACTCAAATAAGTCTTAGAACATCAAAACCAGTTCTCTCACAGCATTTCCCTTGTTTGGGAAACTACCAACAAAACATTACTATTTGGGAGCAGTACCAGCAGTTCTTTACTACTGGGGAAATAGCAAATTGAAATACTCAGACCACACCACTTTCAAGTCATGTAAGAAACAGTTTAATTGTAGCTAAACTCCCCAACTGAATGAAGCAGAACAATGCTCTCTATGTACACTTAACATAAAGCATCCCAGTGTGCCACTCCAAGCAAGATTAACATATTCAAATTATATTTATCTATTTATAGGTATTGTGGTTTTAAGGAATGCAAGTAGGGAAGCATTAGGGAGGAGCTTGGAATCTTATTTAAAGAAGAAAAAATAAATATTAGATGACCATCGCTCTTAAAAGCGGTGAGAAAAGATCTGCATATGAAACCATGACTGAAGCCAAGCCCCCCCTATTTGTAGGAATGGAAATACTTAGGCTGCCACAGTTGGCAACTGCAGCGACTGTTTTGCACTAATCACCTGCTATTCCCTATTTACTTACACTTCACTTTGTCCTCCTAAATCAGTGCATACATTTAATAAAGAACCTATGCACAAAACCATTACCAAAGAAACTTTTTCCAACTATTTCTAAGGGCTAACAACAGTCATCTGCATCCTCTCTTCCTTTCAGTCTAGCACAAATTCATTGGTTTTTTTTATGTAGCCTTTACTCTACGAAGAAGAGGAAGTTAGGAAATCAGTGTTTTCAACTCTCCAAAACAGAACAAGTTTAATCAAGCTTTACCAGTTTATGCTTTCTTACATTATCAAGTTCTACTAATCTTATTCCGTAAACACTTAGCTATGAATTCACAACATAAAAGTATTTCAGAATGAATCATAGCCTAGAACTTCATGTAAACATCCCTGATGTTTCATGTTTGCATTCTGTACTTATGACTCTTAAGATGCCAAGCATATGGTTTTAGACAAGGTTAGAAACAAACTGTAGATAGATGCAGCCCATACCTAGCTTATACCAGTATTAGCAAATGCAGTTACTATGAAAAATGAATATCAGGTTTTAGCTGGGAAAGAGCATGCCCCTGTTAGAGAATGCTTGTGAGATTGTGTACCTACAGCTAAGCAAATCACTTCAAGTAACACTAAAAACTAGGAGTAT